GGTGGGGGGGGGCGGGGGGGAGATAGCATTTGCTTGATACAAATTAAAATCATCAATTCACTTAAAGCAGTCGGTGTCAATTTTAGAAAATTGAAAAAATAATATCTAGATGGCAGAAATTTTTTTACAAATCAAACTCACTACGTCAGCATTATTCCATTAAGCTACAATACTAAGTTTTTAACTAAATGACTAAAAACATATTTTAATTTAGTAAATTTCATATTTAGTATTGTTTATATCCGAAAGAAAACACATTTGATCTTCGATTTCTTCCTCTATACTCACAATAAAATACCCATAACCCGATTATTATGATGATTTGAAGGAAACTGCTCTAATATATATATATCAACATGATTTACTAGTGGAGAATGGAAAGATGGTCAGCTTTTCCAGTCGATTTTGTTGGCTTGCTTTTCAATCCATGTTACACATATATTTCCATGCTTCGTTTTCAGAAATTGCAAATTCAGTCCGAGTACAACTAGAACTTTCAGTTTCAGAAGGTACGTGTTCCAAAAGGCAAAATCACTACTCGTTTTTACTTGATCCAAGAGATCGAGGGAATTCGGAGTCTTAAATGCTGATTACTTTTGACAACTTTTACTGTCAAAAAAATCGACACAATCTCCGTTTGGAATAATAATCTCGGAGACCAAGGATTCCCAAGGAAAATAACGTAGCCGAAACTGAAAGGATGAAAAAGCTTATTTTCGAAATTCAATTACCAAATATATATAGAGAACATAATTGGAAGTTCTAAGAGCATACAATACTGTTGATGAATAACAATAAATTAGCCAACTTTTTAGGCCAAATTGCCATGTCCCTCCAAAACCAATCTGGCCTCACAAGCAATCTAGAAATGCATCTCGTTAACTTCACGTTTGTCCACTAGTTAGTATTAACATCTCTCACGCAATTCTCAGAGTTCAAACAAGAAAAAACTTAAATTAGGCTATGTCTAAAGTCCAAGAAATCCCATAACTAATCAAAATGTGAAGAAGCAAAAAGCAAGTGGATATAAAGTTAGAGGGAGCTAGAAGACAACTCACATGATGTTCTTTGCCGTCCATAGAATGCTATACCTATGGAACTCTTTGGAGGGGTCAAACCACAATCGATATCTTTCTTCTCTGCCATGACTTGTGCTTCCATTACCATACAAGTTTGTTTGGAACCTCCATGGCTCCCCTTTGGTGTTTCCCAGGAATTCAATGTCCAATTCATCATGGGTCTTCTTGAACATGTCCCCGTTTGATGTCTGCGTTCGCGTTCAAAATAACATCATCGATAATACATTGACCATGATAATTATAATTCTGCATTTATTAGTTTGACGTTAATTTATTAATACTATTTTAAAAAAATAATAATTTTATGTCCTAAGTCCCTCCTCCAGTTTTATAGTAGAGAGTGTTACTTGATTTAGGAACAGTTATTTTTCAAATTATTTGTAATTTAGAAATATATTAAAATAATATTTTTTTATTTTATTTTTAATATCAAAACATTAAAATAATACAAAAATATATTAAAAAATTAATTTAAAGAAAAGAAATCTAAATTTTACAGAAAAAAACAGAGTGCAATATCTAAATATACACTAGATAATTGTGAAATCATAGAGGAAATAGAAAAAAGAAAACCATATATATATATATATATATATGCATGACCGAATACAAATGTTTGTATGGGATTATAACGAAGATGAAACTAAGGATTATTAATCAATATGTGGGTCCAAAACAACTAAATTCCTCGTGGAAAATTTAAAATAACATAGCAAGTATTAAATCTTCCAAAAAAACTAACGAGGAAAGATAAGTGATCATAAATGGCGCCTTAAGAGATCAATTAATTGCCGAAAGAAGCATGGTGAGCAAATTCAAATTAGAATTGAACTTTTCCCTCATACAAAGCCAGAACAAACTCAAATTTCTTGTCAAACCAAAAGGCTTACCTTTGAAAAGGCCAAGCAATATATATATATATATATAAAGCGGAGAACAATTTTCATGTTTCTCGAAAGGAATATATGATGATTGCTTGTCACTTACATAAAAGGCAACACAGAGACCGGCCGTGTAATAGCCTGGTAACTTGATATTCGCACTAAAGAATCCATATCTATACATCCTGGATGAAATAAAACCCGCACCTGAGATTCCCAAAAATTAACGACCGATCAACGGTATAACTATATGCAAAATACCAGTATAAGCATACATGCAGATTTTCAAAAATTAAATACATATAGATATGAATACCTGTGAAGCGATCAAGGAGGAGGCGGGCGCTTCTACCATCAGGAGAACGAACAAGATTGCCATCTCCAAAGAGAGGGCTGTAACCTTCATCAAAGGAGATGGTGGAGAGATTGAAAGCTGCTTTGGCAGTGCAAGAAAAGAAGTAAAAGAAGAGGAGGAGATACAAAGGTCTCGAGACAGACCAACAACATAAGCAATCCATTTTTGTTTTTTAACCTAATTCTTGCTTGTCTCACTCCTAATCCTTCTTTGCTTTCTCTGCAAGTTTTTATATGTACAAAGAACATGAATTGGGATGAGAAGGAGAAGGAATATGGGAGGGGGGGTAGACTGGTCTCATAAGGGTTAAATTAGTCTGCTGCCGTTTTCGAATTGAGTTTATGTACAACAATGCCCTTTCAAAGTCTCAATTTTACGTTATATCCACTATACAGTGGGATACGAGGTGGTGGCGGCGGTATTTGCAATTTGTAGCTGTTTTTTCAGGCCATTGTCTATGTGTGTTTTAGGTATTTCAAAGTGCGAGAAAAGTTATTTAAAAAAAATTAATATATTAAAATTTTTTTTATTTTTTAAAATTTATTTTTAAAATTAACATATAAAAATGATCTAAATTATAAAAAAAAAATTGAAGCAATTTTTTTTAAAAAATTTAGACAAAACTCAAGTTAAAACTTATTATCTAACACCCTCTTAATGATTATGATTATAGATTTTAAGTTACATGATGATTTTTCAGGGGGGAAATTAGTTATTATTATTTTTTATTTAATTAAAAAAATATTTTTTATGATTTTTTTATTTTTTTCTATTTATTTTAGGAAATAAAATATTAACATTGATAATTTTAATCTTTTTAGTTTAAGAATCCCTAAAAAAAAATGAATAAAAGAAGTAGTATTGGCATGTGAGCCACATGCGTCTTGCATTTTATAACAACTTTCATGTGGCAGCGTATAAGTTTATACATTACTACTAACTTAGTCAGATTCTAACAACTTTTTCTTATCTCTAGAGGCTCTTAAAATTTGTATTTGAACCTCTAGTAATTTTTATTGAGTAATTTTAATCATATCATTGATTTTTTTTAACTTGTAATTTTTAAAAATTGTGATGGATATTTGAGATGATCCACATAATCACATGATAATCAAAAGTATGAAGTTGTTAGGGATTTGTTATTATGGAGTTGAATACATAAGGCATAAGAATTTAGTACTCTTTGTTTAGAAATTTGAAGTATTGCATTTGAGTTACTACATGGAAAGTCATTTATTTCAAGAACTCAACCCAAATTAAAGAATTTGTTCTTGGCTCTTATCCTTTAACATTGATTATTGAATATTTAAATTAGCAAATACATGTATATATCAATTATCATATGATTCTTATGCTTATTTTCATATGTGATGTATAAACTATAATTTATTTTAAGAAATCAACCCATGATAAACTCGTTCTTGGTTCCTATCCTTGATGGTGGATTATTAGGTATTTGAATTGGTAAGTACATGTTTATGTTGGTTCCTATCCTTGATGGTGGATTATTAGATATTTGAATTGGTAAGTACATGTTTATGTGATTTGCTTGTATTTAACATCTTCCTTAAATGTTGCAAGCTCAATTTGGAAAATTTATGCATGCATAATTATATTTGTGATGGTGTATAAGATGCCATTTATTTTGAGAGTTCAACCTACTATAAAGATTTATTCTTGACTCATGTTGATTATCGGATATTCGAATAAGCAACTATACATTTATGTTATGTCTAATGCCTATTTTTTTTATCAATGTAGGGATTATATCATTTCTATATCTAAATTTAAAACCACTCTGTAGTTTAATTTTAAAATAAAAATAGTAGGTTTGAGTAAACTCGAAGCATAACAAACACATTTTATTTTAAAACAAACAACTTATATTAAATAGGTTGATCATATATTTTCTAATATATAATTAGTCTCTTACTTAGAATCTCAAGAAACCAGTTAGGGTTTCTAATTATTATAAAATTAAATAGAACGATGATAGAATAATGATTCATCTCTTTTAACTTATAATCTACCAAGATATTCAAGGTGATAGAATAACAACTCTAAGAGGAAATTAATAAAGTTTAAGCTATTTTATTCTCAAGCAAAACTTTAAAATTTAAATAATAAAGGATAAAATAATAATTTTACTATAGTGATTTCCATTAATTTATGTCTTGCATTATAGTGAAAACTCATCTCCTATAGGTTTTATGCTAATATTGAAAGAAAAGGTTGAGAAAAGAAAAAAAAAATCCACGTAAAAAAAATTAAAAAAGGTTAAAAATCAAAATTTTCAAAACAATTCAATATTAAAATTTAAAATTTAAAAACAAAAATTATATAAAAAAACCACAGAACATTATTTTTTTGAATATATAGCATTTTATAAAAGTAGCTATGATGATTTAGTTGCATCCTAGCGTTTTGTTCATATATATATAATTCATAATATATACACACACACGTAATTCATAACATTGTGATCTTTTTTTGTATTAGATTAGGCAGGGAGGAGATAATGAAAAAAAAAACACTATAATTGTTGCAGTTGTTACCAACTGGAACATTGACGAGTGGTTTACACATGCATTTCGGCAGCTTAATAAAAGGGAATATTTTAGGGGGAAAAAATCATATTTCTACTATATTAGATGATGCTTTATTGCTTAATAAAGACATCTCAATTAGATATTAATTTGGATTACTATGCATGACGACACGTATGCCAAAATGTTCCATCCATCTCAATAATTTAGAACCAGCTAGGCTTCACACACACACACACATATATATATATATATAGCTCTGCCAAATGCTTGCGTGTCAAAACATGATAGGGAAAGGTTTGCTTTCAACATCTTTGATGTGGTCCAACCGCTTGATGACATAACATACAATATTTAATATTGGATAAACGAATATAAAAAGTCAAGAATGGATATCACTAGTAAGGTGTCCAATGAGATGCGTCCAGGGCAATTTGGTCCATCAATAAATCTAGAGGCAGTATGGTCAAAGGGTGGTTTCCCTGTTTTGATACGCAAGTTGAAGGGCTTTGCGGGAAAAGAAGGATGCTGTGACTTGGGTGCACCCGCTCAAAGGTGGAGATAGCTTCCCGTATTTTTTAAAATATTTTTTTATTTATAAATATATTTTTTAAAATTACTTTTATATGAATATATCAAACTATTTATAAACACTAAAATAAAATAAATAAATAAAGTAATTCCATATGAAGAGATGTGACAGGTAATAGATTGTGGACCGCGAGTCTCATAATTATAAGCTAATCAATTGATTGAGAGTGGAAAAATCCCTATAATATGTGGAATTTATTTTTCGTATATGAAAAACAGTGGATTTAAAGACAAATGTTGTTGTCAATTGTTGAAAAACAAAAGGTAAAAAAAAAAAACAATACAAGTCGACAACAGAGTACTTAATCGACACGGCTAATTAACTTGAAAAATGTTGCATTTTATATATAATTGTCAGCAAGAGGGCACCATAATCAGCCAGTCTACAATTTTAATATCACAGTTATCAACATTCTTTACGAATCTCAGGCCCAAGTTTTGGCTGTATGCATTTACCATTCAAATTATCAGAAATTCATTGTTCTTTTTCCCCTTTGGAACAGAAGATACTGGCTTGCCCTTTGTCGTGGAACATGCTTTTTGTTTTTAACGTAAGAAAACAAAGCTTGGACAGTGGTAATGTACTTTAAAGAAGGAAGAAAATTCAAGTTACTTTAATTCAATTATATGATAAAAATAAAAAAGTTACTATAAATCGACTGAATATTAAAAGAAAAGGTTGCAGCAGTAATAAGAAAAAGAACATTAGTCAAAAGGAAGAAAGAAAAAAACAACCGCAACGCTTAATTTTAAAATAGTGTAATATTAAAAGATAAAAATAACAAAATAATATATTCTGAATCAAATAGTATGTAAAATTTATAATCCTTACTGTGAGGTAAGGTAAAACAACAATGATCAATCTCCAACAACATGAATGTAGAAAGCTGGAATAAAAAATAAAATCAATCAATAAAAAGAAGCTCAAAAAAATTTAACACCTAAGATCATCAAACCTTATATGTTGAATAATGTAAATGGGATAACTACAAGTAGTAAGCTGGCAAAAAAAAAAAAATTCATCTTAAAAAACCTAATTTTAAAAAATAAAACAAAAAAAAATATTAAAAAAACCTCAAAAAAATATTCGGGTCACAATCATAAAATTAAAATAATATAATTAAAAAGAAACCAAAAAAATTAAGAAACTCATTTTTTTAAATAAACAAAGTCAGATTGAAGATTAAAAAAATAACAAACAACTTGTTGTTTGCTTATCCAATTTTTTACCATTATATAGATGGTTGAAAAATCAAGCTCAGATTTTTTATTTAAAAATATTATTTTTCAATTTATTTTTATCTAAAATATATAATAAATATCCTTATGATATTAAACAATCAACTCAAAACATCTCTATATTAGTTCAATAACATAAAATCAGAAAAATTATCTCTCGACCATGTTCAATTTTTTTCCAGTAAGATGAGAGGGAGACTCCTCAATGAAATCCTTTTATCAAATCAAATGAAGTTTATTGCAACCAAAGAATTATTTTTTTAATAATCAAAATATAGATAGGCATTAACTGTCTCTCTTCCCTCTTGTTTTCTAATGACTCTTATCTATTTTATCAAATCCAAGGTCTGACACGTGAATAAATGGAAATTAACTGTCTCTCTTCCCTCTCTTATTGAATCAAAACACAATAACCTCAAAAAACAGGGAAAAGGGGTTGAATTTTTTTAATCATTAATTTTTATCCCTAAAACTTTAATTCTTTTTTAATCAATAAAATCGTATTCTATCTTGCCAAATAAAATACTAATTTATCATATTGATTTTTTGTTATATCTCAATAAACTATAGAAGACTAATTAAAATAAAATAGGAACTCAAAATCCCATTTAACGCAAACTAATTATGAAATAAAAAAAATTGACGACTAAAACAAAAAATGATAAAAGGATAGAAAAACAATTGCGCAACATTGTTCCAATGAACAGTTCACAATGAGAGAGTCGTCGGTATTTTTTTAAGGGATTTGTTTTTTTAATTGCAAGTGTAATTACATGTCAGAGGAAAATACAATTGTCAAAAGATGACTTTATTATTTTAATTTTTTATGCAAGTGACTTGATAGTTATTTGTTATTATACTTCCTCGTTAATTTGTACCATTCATATTTTATATTCGGATAATTAACATTAACTCAGGAGTCAAGAGC